ACTTTGTATTGTGCCAAAACAAAAGCATTCACATTGCTAAACTCACAAATTATGATGTAGTCACTTAGCCTTAGTACCATAATCTGTAAGGATTTAATGTTAAGAATTAATCTAAGTCTGCCCGAAATACCTAGCCATGCTAGGTGTCCTAGTGGCCCCCTCTGTAATTAGTATTTTATAACATGTAAACCACACAATACCCAAAACCTGTAAACTCCACATTGTAACCCTTATAGAGAATAAACTTGAATCCCCAGTAGCTGACTCTTGAGCTGCTGAGAAGTTGACTCACAACGCCAACATCTGCTTCAACATTTACACCTGTACCAGTACTTTCTCCAACACCTGGACTAATACGTGCACCAACACCAATGCCTGGATTAACACCTGCACCAACACCTGTATTAACACCTGCACCAACATCTGCATTAACACTTGCACCTGTACCAACACCATGACTAACACCTACACAACGCCTGTACCCACAATTACGGTAAGAATACCTCCACCAACACCTGCATCAACGCTTCTAAATTTAATTAATGAAATTAAACTCCTTAAATAAATACTTCTAATGATTTGACTCTAATGAATGAGCAGTTTTTAATAAGAGTAATTATTATGTTTTAAATTAAGCCGTGCGATAACAGTATGTGACATTATTACACTTGTGGTGACAGTATGTGATGTTGTTACACCTAGTGTTAAGGATAAAACAGCTTGAAGAACACTTAAAGAATCATGGAATGGAATGAGAACTCCTACACAGTTTCAAGTGTAGGTATGACGGTACCCTTGTTTGAACCACACCGGTTAAATGATGGTTAAGAGTCGATGTGACATGCATCAAGTACGTCACCCTCATTCGCTTGAATCACACATTCCCATCTTGCATTTCGTCCATAAGCCACTGTCAGTTTTTATCATATAGTTTTTGTGTAGCGGGCTCGTTGAGTGATATAGGTTGGAATTAATAGGTTTTTCTGCTTTGCTACAGGTTTATTGAAGAGTCTTTGGAAACAGCCTGACTCAACACATCTACAACTCCACTGCGAAGAGCTGCCAGTCATGAACATCAAGACTCAGGGTGGGAAAAGGGGGGTTGAACTTCAGGCAAGTTGACTTGATACCTACACCCAGGTCTGGAGGGCAGTCTCTCACCAGCTCTAGCTCTGTGGAGAAATTTTCTCCAGGAGGGAGATATCAGCCCCCTTCAGCCCTTTTCAGCCCTGAGGGACCCAGCCCTCTCAGAAGAGGCAAGCATCCTGTTTACTTCCACATCAAGTAATTACAAGTAGATGTTTAACCAGCATGTATCAGTCACAGGTCACGCCACGTCTTTGCAAGAGACCAATGAGAGACAATCAATCTCTTACCCTAGCAGGAGAATTAAGGAAAATCCTGCACCCACTTTATTACCGTGTTAAAGATAGTGTATATTGTTGTCTATTCCCAGACAGCAAGAATCAATTATTCTGCATTACTTCATGGTGGAAGTTTGGCAAGGAAGGGAAATATGCTTGAATCAGCTTTTTCTTTGTGGCTAGAGACAGTGGCGGCATAGGGTGCTATGGCGTCTTCAGATTGCTTTATCCCTGCCAAGGGAAACATCAACGCCGGGATAACGAACAAAAAAAGACAATCCACAGTTACAGTAGAACAATTACAAGAAGTGTGTGTTGAACTGTCTGTAGTAATAGTACTGTAAATTTAAACGCTTGAAGGACAATTCAGTGTACCATGTGTATTGAGAACTATTTTCATAGACTAACAAACAGTGCACCGCAAGACACTCCTTCTTTCAAGACAACGATACCCGAGTGAACATATGGGTCAGATAAAGATACCCAGGTAGGTCTAGTAATTAAGGAGACTAGATAGGTCAACTGCACAGCAGATAGCTAGTTCATTTTCTCTAGATTTATCACCATACACTAGGTGACATGAGGGCTTTTTAGCCCAAACAAGTGAGTATAAAGATCCAGTCAATATTCAGTTATTCAATGGAAATACTGACACAACACCCCCTAGGGGTAATTATACTTATCATAACTCTCCCCTTTCAGGCTATGTGTGGTTACAGTTGCATCGTCGGCTCCAAGAACATTCTGGACGTCATCAAGCTAAGTCCCATACAATTCACTTATTATATGATTAGCTTGTTTGTATGCAAAAACCCACAAGCTCATTACACATACTGGTCTCACTTATATGAGTCTGTGAGCTATTGGCGAGCGTATCAGTTTTGTTCCCTCATATTATGTCACCAGTGCGGTGTCTGCCCACCTGGCTGCTCCGTTGCACACACTGAAATTATTTGTTTATACTGATATTGATGTTAGGAATTTACGGATGCTTCAAAAACTACCTTCGGTGTTTGCGTTTGTCTTTGCTCTCTGTGTCACACAGAGCCTAGTGGCATATATTGAACCTTTTATCCATTGTTGACACGAATATAATTGAATCACTGTTTTCACAAAAAAGCATTTTCGAATATAAATGTATCTTTGTATTATTCAAAATTTAATTCATTTATAATTAATATTCTACTGTACAACTATGAAATAATTACTATCCTACTGTACAACTATGATATACTCCTTAGTATTAAGTAGACTGTAAGCCAATAATGTTAAATTGGCCCATAATGCCTAGGCATAATAGAGGCTGTCTTTGCATTGCAACCCACTATTGTAAATACAAAATCTCAATGTACTGTTTGCAAAGACATAAAATAAATAAATAAATAAATAAAATAAATACGTCCATAACGGGAGACAGAAGAACTAGAGCTCAGTTCTGTGTCCATATACGCACTCATACTTCAAATAAGTACTCACACGTCAAATACGCACCAATAAGCACACACACGTCAGATACGCACAGATAAGTACACACGCGTCAAATATGCATAAATTCTTCAAATTCAACAAATGCATACACAGGATATAAATGCGTTCACAGACAAATACATACACAGATTTAAATACGTGAAAATACAAACACAGACCACTTTTACTGACAAACGATCCAAATAAGCACATAATATACAAATACGTGCACGTGAAATACACACACACACACACACACACACACACAACTGAGGAGGAAGTGAAGAAGCTGCTAAGTGACCTTGATACCTCAAAGGCAATGGGACCGGACATCTCCCCGTGGGTACTTAGAAAGGGAGCAGAGATGCTGTGTGTCCCATTAACCACAATCTTCAACATATCCCTTGAAATTGGGCAACTGCCTGAGGTATGGAAGACGGCAAATGTAGTTCCCATTTTTAAAAAAGGAGACAGAAAAGAGGCACTAAATTAGACTAATATCACTGACGTGTATAGTATGCAAAGACACGGAGAAGATTATCAGGAGGAGAGTGGTGGAGCACCTGGAACGAAACAAGATTATAAACGACAACCAGCACGGATTCATGCAGGCAAATCTTGTGTCACAAACTTTCTGGAGTTTTATGACAGTTGCAGAAGTACGACACGAGAGAGAGGGGTGTGTTGATTGCATTTTCTAGGACTGCAAGAAGGCCTTTGACAAAGTACCTCACAGGAGATTAATGCAGAAACTAGAGGATCAGGCACGTATAACAGGAAGGACACTGCAATGGATCAGAGAATACCTGACAGGGAGGCAAAAACGAGTAATGGCACGTGATGAGGTATCACAGTGGGCACCTGTGACAAGCGGGGTCTCACAGGGGTCGGTCCTAGGACCAGTGCTATTTTTGGTATATGTGAATGACATGGAAGGGATAGACTCAGAGGTGTCCCTGTTCGCACATGATGTGAATTAATCAGGAGAATTAAATCAGATGAGGATCAGGTAGGCCTTCAAAGAGACCTGGACAGGCTGGATACGTGGTCCAGCAACTGGCTTCTTGAATTTAACCCTGCCAAATGCAAAGTCATGGAGAAGGGCAAAGAAGACCGTAGGCAGAGTATAGACTAGGTGGCCAACGACTGCAGTCCTCGCTCAAGGAGAAAGATCTTGGCGTGAGTATAACACCGAATACGTCTCCGGAAGCACACATCAACCAGATAACTGCTGCAGCATATGGGCGCCTGGCAAACCTGAGATTAGCATTCCGATACCTAAGTAAGGAATCTTTCAAGACACTGTACACCGTATACGTCAGGCTCATACTGGAGTATGCAGCACCAGTTTGGAACCCGCACCGGGTCAAGCACGTTAAGAAATTAGAGAAAGTGCAAAGGTTTGCGACAAGGTTAGTTCCAGAGCTAAGGGGAATGTCCTATGAAGAAAGACTGAGGGAAATCGGCCTGACGACACTGGAGGGCAGAAGGGATAGGGGAGACATGACAACGACATACAAAATACTGCCTGGAATAGACAAGGTGGACAGAGACAAGATGTTCCAGAGAGGGGACACAGGAACAAGGGGTCACTCTTGTAAATTGAAGACTCAGATGAGCCACAGGGATGTTAGGAAGCACTTCTTCAGTCATAGAGTGGTCAGGAAGTGGAACAGTCTGGCGAGCGATATAGTGGAGGCAGGAACCATACATTGATACACAAATAACCCGCACATAAAAGAGAGAAGCTTACGACGACGTTTCGGTCCGACTTGGACCATTGACAAAGTCACTTTGTCGCCGTAAGCTTCTCTCTTTTATGTGCTGGTTATTTGTGTATCGTTCCAGTCACGGTATTGTGCCTTTTTTTGTTATTAACCATACATAGCTTTAAGACGAGGTATGATAAAGCTCAAGGAGCAGGGAGAGAGAGGACCTAGTAGCGTTCAGTGAAGAGGCGGGGCCAGGAGCCTAGTCTTGATCCCTGCAACTACAATTAGGCGAGTACACACACACACACACACACACACACACACACCACACACACACACACACACACACACACACACACACACACACACACACAGGGCACAAATACCTACATACACTACAAGACGTACAGACTAAATATACGTACAGAGACTATAAAACTACGTACACACAACTCACCCTACATAAAACAGAAGAACAATACCAACGGTCAGAAGCAACAGAAGATTTCGCGAAGATTTACCCGTTAACATCATCATTGCTGATCTGTTGAGAGAACAGATGTTAGAGTTAGAGCATCACACCCGCAAGTTATATATACCGGGTGGTGGTGTTTGTTTCTCAGTGTATATACAGTGAGAAGTGTGTCTCTCAGTGTATATACAGTGAGAAGTGTCTCTCAGCGTATATACAGCGAGAGGTGTGTCTCTCAGCGTATATACAGCGAGAGGTGTGTCTCTCAGTGTATATACAGTGAGAAATGTCTCTCTTAAGTGTTTAGTATTCGCAGCCTTTCACACCCACTGCTGACGCAGGTGCAGCTGCTGCTGATTACTGCTGCCTTCAGTAGGGGATGAAGGGGGAGGTCCTTGATGCTCTGGAAGGACTCTTGATGCACGTGTAGTGCGTTCGGTGTGAGTGACTAGACTGGGCAGCCTGATAAGAAACTAATCAACCGCTTAAAATTAAGCGGGGGCTTTCTCTGATAGAAAGGGATAATCTATATGATGAAGACTGTCAGCGTTCATCTCACATTAATCTGACAGCTGATAGGGCATTGGTCCCTGAGCTAAAACTCTGTTGCCTGGCTGACAGAACTCTCACTTCACACACATAGGGCCCGGGTTCGATTCCCGGCGGGGTAGAAACATTTCGACGTGTTTCCTTACACTCTGCCTTGTTCACCTAGCAGTAAGTAGGTACCTGGGTGTTAGTCGACTGGTGAGGAAAATATTGCGTAATTTTTCCCAAAATTATATTGTATAATTTTTATAATGTAAATGTGCATGATTAACGCATTACTGTTGGTCTGAAATATATTAGGAAGTGAGAAGAGAACTGACCTCTCTGACCCAGCGCATGCGCTGGGTCAGAGAAGGGATGCCGGGGCATGGGTAGGGAGTCGCGTGGGTATGCCGAAATAGCGTGGGTGTCTAGTCAAAATGGTACCAGGAAATTGGCGTTCACAGCGGCCTAAAGGATTAATATAGGCCTCACTTCATGACAGGAAGTGTTGTAACTGTTCCCGGTGTGGAGTATGGGACAATAAGTTGTCGAAACCACCATAATAGGGCGATAACGGAAAATAGTGAGCGACCCGACGACGCCATGACGAGTGAGTTCATTTTGGAAAATACCTGCCGATTTAATCATCACTCATCGGGCTCAGATCTTAATGGATCAACCTTTAACAGCTTTCAGGGAGAAGGCTTACAGCTTTTCATCTCATCCCCTGCATGCATCGACCAACTAGAGATTTTAACAATGCAAGGAATTCGCAAGAGCAGGCGAAATATACACAAACACTGAACTCTGGCCGAAGGAGATCCGAACCTACGAACCTTGAAACAAGGAACGCAGTGCTTTACCATTCTCACCACACTGCACAGGCATGCAGGGGATGAGATGAAAAGCTGTAAGCCTTCTCCCTGAAAGCTGGCTGCCTTGGATCAACGTCTAGCATGAGCTGGGCGCCAAGGTATTGGTCCAGTGTGGTGAGAATGGTAAAGCACTGCGTACCTTGTTCCAAGGTTCGTAGGTTCGAGTCTCCTTCAGCCAGAGATCAGTGTTTGTGTATATTTCGCCTGCTCTTGCGATATATATATATATATATATATATATATATATATATATATATATAATGTATATATATATACATATATAATGTATATATATATATATGTATATATATGTCGTGCCGAATATGTAAAACTGGTCAATTAGCAAGAACTCATTTAAAATTAAGTCTTTTCTAAAATTTTCTCTTATACGTTTAAAGATATATTTTTTTTATTAATGTTAATGTAAAAATAATTAATTTTGCTCCAAAAGAATCTTAGAAAACTTACCTAACCATATTATCACCAGAACAATTTATTTTAGCCTAATCCAACTAAATATATTTTAGATTTGCTTTCAATTACTCAGATATGGTAAACATGAGGAAATTAAATCTTCATCAGAGTACAAAACAAATTCTGGCCACAAAATAGAGCGAAACACCAACGTCAAAGACCTGGGAGTGATTATGTCGGAGGATCTCACCTTCAAGGACCATAACATTGTATCAATCGCATCTGCTAGAAAAATGACAGGATGGATAATGAGAACCTTCAAAACTAGGGAGGCCAAGCCCATGATGACACTCTTCAGGTCACTTGTTCTATCTAGGCTGGAATATTGCTGCACTCTAACAGCACCTTTCAAGGCAGGTGAAATTGCCGACCTAGAAAATGTACAGAGAACTTTCACGGCGCGCATAACGGAGATAAAACACCTCAATTACTGGGAGCGCTTGAGGTTTCTAAACCTGTATTCTCTGGAATGCAGGAGGGAGAGATACATGATTATATACACCTGGAAAATCCTAGAGGGACTAGTACCGAACTTGCACACGAAAATCACTCACTACGAAAGCAAAAGACTTGGCAGACGATGCACCATCCCCCCAATGAAAAGCAGGGGTGTCACTAGCACGTTAAGAGACCATACAATAAGTGTCAGGGGCCCGAGACTGTTCAACTGCCTCCCAGCACACATAAGGGGGATTACCAACAGACCCCTGGCAGTCTTCAAGCTGGCACTGGACAAGCACCTAAAGTCAGTTCCTGATCAGCCGGGCTGTGGCTCGTACGTTGGTTTGCGTGCAGCCAGCAGCAACAGCCTGGTTGATCAGGCGCTGATCCACCAGGAGGCCTGGTCACAGACCGGGCCGCGGGGGCGTTGACCCCCGAAACTCTCTCCAGGTAAACTCCAGGTAAACAATAATTTAATACTAAACAAACACAGTGAAATATTTTTTTTTCGTTAGGTTCAGAATGATTTTGGCGAAATTATTGCATACACAAATTTTCACTTGTCCTATATGGCAAGATGAACGTTGCTGTTTAAGCCAACATCGCAAGTTCTGCCTATTCGGCACGACATATATATACATATATGAAGAGAAGTTGCAGAGATTGGTGGATGAATTTGATAGGGTGTGCAAAAGAAGAAAATTAAAAGTGAATACAGGAAAGAGTAAGGTTATGAGGATAACAAAAAAGATTAGGTGATGAAAGATTGAATATCAGATTGGAGGGAGAGAGTTTGGAGGAGGTGAATGTATTCAGATATTTGGGAGTGGACGTGTCAGCGGATGGGTCTGTGAAAGATGAGGTGAATCATAGAATTGATGAGGGGAAAAGGGTGAGTGGTGCACTTAGGAGTCTGTGGAGACAAAGAACTTTGTCCTTGGAGGCAAAGAGGGGAATGTATGAGAGTATAGCTTTACCAACACTCTTATATGGGTGTGAAGCATGGGTGATGAATGTTGCAGCAAGGAGAAGGCTGGAGGCAGTGGAGATGTCATGGCTGAGGGCAATGTGTGGTGTGAATATAATGCAGAGAATTCGTAGTTTGGAAGTTAGGAGGAGGTGCGGGATAAGATTAAGATAAGATAAGATAAGATTTCGTTCGGATTTTTAACCCCGGGGGGTTATCCACCCAGGATAACCCAAGAAAGTCAGTGCGTCATCGAGGACTGTCTAACTTATTTCCATTGGGGTCCTTAATCTTGTCCTCCAGGATGCGACCCACACCAGTCGACTAACACCCAGGTACCTATTTGCTGCTAGGTGAACAGGACAACAGGTGTAAGGAAATGTGTCGAAATGTTTCCACCCGCCGGGAATCGAACCCGGGCCCTCCGTGTGTGAAGCGGGAGCTTTAGCCACCAGGCCACCAGGCCACCAAAACTGTTGTCCAGAGGGCTGAGGAAGGGTTGTTGAGGTGGTTCGGACATGTAGAGAGAATGGAGCGAAACAGAATGACTTCAAGAGTGTATTAGTCTGTAGTGGAAGGAAGGCGGGGTAGGGGTCGGCCTAGGAAAGGTTGGAGGGAGGGGGTAAAGGAGGTTTTGTGTGCGAGGGGCTTGGACTTCCAGCAGGCATGCATGAGCGTGTTTGATAGGAGTGAATGGAGACAAATGGTTTTTAATACTTGACGTGCTGTTGGAGTGTGAGCAAAGTAACATTTATGAAGGGGTTCAGGGAAACCGGCAGGCCGGACTTGAGTCCTGGAGATGGGAAGTACAGTGCCTGCACTCTGAAGGAGGGGTGTTAATGTTGCAGTTTAAAAACTGTAGTGTAAGCACCCTTCTGGCAAGACAGTGATGGAGTGAATGATGGTGAAAGTTTTTCTTTTTCGGGCCACCCTGCCTTGGTGGGAAATCGGCCAGTGTGATAATAAAAAAAATAATATATATATATATATATGTTCCTTTGATAATGTGAGTAGTCACGAAAGCGCTTGGAACTTCTCTATTCTTTCACAGTGTTGTTTTGCATATATATATATATATATATATATATATATATATATATATATAATATATATATATATATATATATATATATATATATATATATATATATATATATATGTGTGTGTGTGTGTGTGTGTGTGTGTGTGTGTGTGTGTCCACTCTCCCTCCCTTCTTCAAGAATGTTTTACTTCCTAACAACTCTGTGACTGAGGAAATACTTCCTAACTTCCCTGTGACTCATCTGAATCTTCAACTTCTAGTTGTGACCCCGTGCTGTTGTGTCCCATCTCTGAAACATCCTGTCCCTATCCATATTGTCAATTCTTCTCAGTATTTTATATGTCATTATTAGTGCCGGATCAGCCGGGCTGTGGCTCGTACGTTGGACTGCGTGCGGCCAGCAGTAACAACCTAGTTGATCAGGTCCTGATCCATCGGGAGGCCTGGTCATGGACCGGGCCGCGGGGGCGTTGATCCCCGGAATAACCTCCAGGTAACCCCCTATCCCTCCTGTCCTCCAGTGTTGTCATGTCAATTTCCCTTAACCTCTACTCATAGGACATACCCCTTAGCTCTGGGACGTGTCTTGTTGCAAACCTTTACACTTTCTCTAGTTTTTGATGTGCTTGACCAGGTGTGGGTTCCATACTGGTGCTGCATACTCTAATATGGGCCTGACGTACACAGTGTACAGAGTCTCGAACGATTCCTTACTAAGGTGTCGAAAAACTATTCTTAGGTT